CTTTGCTCACCTGGAGCCAGTCTGTTTTGCTGCATTTTGTCCAGCACTTGTCATTTTACACATGCACAAAAATTCAATTCTGGAAGATACTTCCTCTCCCCCATTGGTTCAGTACATTAAATAATGTAATGTAATTTATTGCATTTGAACCAATCTTTTGATTCTATCCATACCTTCAACAATACTGGATTTAGCAAGGAATCCAGAAGATGTTTTTAGGGCTCCATTGAACACTACAAAACTTGCACCTGTAACTGAATAAACAGCATACATTTAATTGGTCATGCTAACACAAAGCATGATAAACATAATATTGTACATAGTAAGCTATACATTAAACACTCCTGACTCCTGTAGTTCTAGACAAGCGCACCAGGCTTGGATCATTTCTCCTCAGAGCATGCTTATTCAATTCAGAGTAAGTAACAAATGCCACTAAGTTAACATTCCTGAACGTGGCCAAAGCTCAAATAGAGAGGAAATGTGATTTGCATGCAAAGGCGTCTACAAACAATAACCCCCAACATCTTTTTTAATGTACTGTAAATCAAGAATAGAAATATTGACCCTAAATGAGTCAACAGTCTGATTCAGTATACAACATCTTATTACTGTTAGCATTAAGTAAAGTTTAATGTTTATTTTTTATTATAATGCTGAAGTTCCAAAGCTAATGAAAGATAAAAATTTAAGAGCAAGAACACTTTTTCCATAATAATCTACATGTATCTTTAGTAAGGAACAAGGTAAAATCTTTTGTAATATGTTGGGTATAAATATTTCTTTTCTACAGCCAAATTAAAAAAAAAGAAAAAAGAATTGTACCTAGAAAACAGGAGCTCAATATTGTGTTACACTTACTTTTCCTAGGCTGTCCAGTGGCACTGTTTGCTTGTGTTTGATATACTCCATCATCATTTTGTACACAAACTAAGTGAGAATCTGCTTGAGAATTAAAACTTGCTCCAATGCTAATGACATGTTCATTAGAAGTGTTCATTACTTTCATCACCTATGAAGACAAAAATATTAGATAGTATATATTAAAATATTTCTCAGGTTGCAATATCATGAATACTTACTGGGAAATAAGTTTCACCAGAACTCTTCCAGATGGAACATGCACAAGATTAGGCTAAAAAGTAGATTGTTACTCACTTACATGTGACTGTTTCAATCAAATTGCCTTTTCCTCAAATTGAACCAGTGGCCCTTTTAAGCATACCAGAACTCCTCCAGAAAACCAGTGCTACTACTTCTCTCTTATCCAATACTGATCAGTGCCTACGCAGCAATCCCTTTTCCCCATACCTATTGTGAGTTTTGCTATAGAAGCATTATTTAGTTTCCTCATATTTGGGCAAATATCATTAATAGAACAAGAGTAATATATATGCTAGATTTTTCTCCAGTATCATGAAGCCCTGATTATTTTTTTCCACTTAAATAAAATGTGTATTATCAAATACAATGTCTTCAATATTTCTGAAGGCAGAATATTTATAGGGCTAATAATTTACTGCATTTTATCTCACCCATTCTCCAAGGAGGTCAGGACAACAATACATGGTTTTCATCCGTCCAAACTTCCTGTAAAATCACCTAGTAAGACTGAGTGAGAATTTGAGCCTGAGTCTCTTCAGTCAGGTCATTGTTTAGTCTATAAATATTCTACCTATCAAGAAAAAGCAGGAAATGCTAAAAGGAAGACACAGCTTTTACAGAAATCTCTGGTATGTATCTACCAGAGCACAAACATGCCTCAAGTCTAAATCCTAGAATCTTGCATAAGTGTTCATAAGTGTTGCAAAAATGTTTGTGACACTTGGCTCTTTGTTGTTTTGCTGCAAAAGAACACCTCACTTCAAATCCTAGATAATCCATGAAAACTGCAGCTCATTCCTGAACCTTATCCATGATTCTTACATCTGACACCAGTCCTTACTAGAAATTATACTTACCTCATTGTATTTCTTCAGAGGTATTTTAATGTAACTTCTACCCATTTCCATATGAATAAATAAATTATCTATAGTATGCAATGTATATTGATAATTCCTAAGGTCCTGCAATGCAATAAAAAATAGATTAATCTAGTTCTTTAATTTTGAACCATGTGAGTAACTCATTACTACTGTTCATAATATAAAAAACAACCTCTCAAAATCTAGCACCACCATTGATTCACAGAAATCTTCGAGTGTTACTTGAGTAAGTGAATATCCTTCAAACTGCAAAAACTGTCTACTAAGAGTCTGTGGAATGACTGTAAAATACTTGGCCACCACAAAGTAACCTGAATTATGCAAGATGGTTTAAAGCAGGAAATAAATTCTAAATGCAGCCAAAGAAAAGAAGATATTATTAAATTTATTTATAAAGGATAGTGGTGCTTAAAAGTTTGTGAACCCTTCTGAATTTTCAATATTTCTACATAAATATGGCCTAAAACATGATCTGTTCTCCACACAAGTCCTAAAACTAGATAAAGAGAACCCAGTTAAACAAATGAGTCAAAAACATTATACTAGTTCACTGATTTATTGAGGAAAATGATCCAAGCTACATATTTGTGTGTGGCAAAAGTATGTGAACCTTTGCTTTCAATAACTAGTGTGCCTCCCCCCTGGGCAGCAATAACTACAATTAAACGTTTCCAGTAACTGTTGATCAGTCCTGCACATTGGCCTGGAGGAATTTTAGCCTATTCCTTCTCACGGAACAGCTTCAACTCAGGGATGTGGCTTCCTTGCATGAACTGCCTGCTTCAGGTCCTTCCACAATATTTCTATAGGATTAAGGTCAGGACTTTGACCTGCCCCCCCCAAAACATTAATTTTCTTCTGCTTAACCCATTCTTTGGTCATACAACTTGAGTGTTTTGGGTTGTTGTCTTACTGTATGGCCCACTTTCTCTTGAGTTTCAATTCATGGACAGATACCCTGATATTTTCCTGTACAATTTGCTGGTACAATGTTTCTGACTCATTTGTTTAATTGGGTTCTCTTTATCTAGTTTTAGGACTTGTACAGAGAACAGATCATGTTTTAGGTCATATTTATGCAAAAGTACATATGCTATTTTGAGTTGACCCAAAATAAAGTTGGGATGATGATGATGATGATGATGATGATGATGATGATGATGATGATGATGATGATGATATAGTTGAGCTTCTGGCAATGGGGCATATTCAGAAGGGTATTTCCTGTTCATCTGAATACTAGGCAAGTTCACATGATCAAAAGCAGTCCCACAGTTAAAAAGGCCCTTTAAAGATCAACACCAACACTTTAAACTGTGCCCAGTAGGCAACTGACAACCATTGCAGATTTTTTTTAGTATAGACAGCCTACGATTACTGTATCTTGAATTAGCCAGCATCCTTCCACATTTGCACCAACTGCAATATTCAGATGCTTTTCATGTAAAATATTTTGCAACAGACAAACAAACAAAGCATGGATAACTGTTGTTAAGTTTGACTGCTTCATGAAGGTTCGCAGTTGGAGCACCAACTGTAATTGTGCAAAAGAGCTCCTCATCATAATTGCCAACTGCAAATTCAGTGACAGCTGAAAGTCACAGAGCACACCCAAAGTGCAAATCTGCTCCTTCTGGGGAAGTGCAAGTCAGAAGACTGAGATAGCTCAATCCCAGCGTCCAACTTTCTTCTTATCAACAGCACCTCCATCTTGTATGAATTTAATTTAAGCTTGTTTTCCTTCATCCAGCCAATTAATGAGATTAGATAGCACTTAAGGTACTGGCTGCTTCCTTGGAGTTATAAGACAGGGATTATAACATTGAGTATCATTATCATGCTGATGTCCAAATGACATCTCACAACAGTTTCATTTAGATATGAAACAGCACAGGAGACAATGTCCTTGACACTGAGCAGTAGTCCCCCAGTATCACCTTTTGGGCATATTTTGGCAGGAAAGCCTGAAACTATTGCAAACAATGCCCCCAAAACTCAACCATGCCAGATAAGCCAAAAGCATAATGATATGGGCTCTACCCATCTCTGGGGGTGGTTAGCCCCCTGATGATGCTCCCTGAAATTACCCACCAATTTTCTATCTTTTTGGAACCCATTTGTTTTTAGGATTGTTTTTATGTTGTATTTTAATGAATTTTTATCTTGTAAATCGCCCAGAGTCATTTCACAAGATGGGCAGTGACAAATTTGATAACTAACTAACTAACTAACTAACTAACTAACTAACTAACCATGGCTGAAAACCCACCAAGAGGTCCAGGAGAACTAGCATGTTAAGCTATACTGTGTAATTTCTGCATAAGCCATCTACCAAGGTGACCAAGACAGTCTCAGTAGCACATCCCAAATAAATCCTGATTGAAATAATCCATAAAATCAGTTTCATGCAGATGCATCTGGAATTGTGCTCAAGCACTGTACACAGTAGAGTACAGACTTTATTACAGTCACTTACCAGAATTCCATCACCCTACCTGAGTACCAAATATCTAAGACTGGCCTACAAGTGGAAAGATCTTCTGGGACAAGGTTGTATAGCTACCTCCTTTAACCATGCAGGAACGCATCTTGTATTCAGTGAGGCATTAGTCATCCATGAGACCAGTCCCAATTCGACAGATTTTATCAGTCAGAAAGAGCAAAGGTCAAGCAAGCAAGCAAGCAAGCAATGGTCCTTATCTCTCCAAATATCCTGTCCACATCCATGATATCTATGAGCTGAAAAGATTCCATCTGAACCTGGCCAGCAGATGTCAAGGGTTGACCTACCAAAATACCAGTCGAAATCAAGATGAATTGACTTTTTTTTCAAAGGATGATGAAAATTGCCCACAGTGGGCTTCTGACTGGTCTGGCTTCTCTCCTATTCTATATTGCCACACAATGTAGAAAAGCATTGTTGGCCTGTTCTGTGCAGACAAAATGGAGACTAACAAATAAACCCTCTTTGCTGTACCCACTATCATAAAACAGATTTCAAATGAATCTGAAAAAGGCCTCTGCTCTGTGTTTGGTTTGATTCATCATGAGATTTCCTCCACTTGCACTCTAGCCCTCTGCCTATCTGCTTCATTCCTCTCAGCTCTCCATAAACCAAAGCTCCGATTCAGCAATGCTAAAGAGAAGGCAGTGTTTAGAAGCAATAGTGTCAACTGCCCAGGCTATCTCTGTGTTCCACAGATTAGTCAGGGCATCAACAATATTGCTGACAACTGAGGCAGGAAAATCATCTGGATCCATCAAGCAACTGGACCATTTTAACTGGTCCTCCACATACATAAAGGTTTATAGCAGTTGCTACTCTAAATATGAGCAGAAAATTATTTGTTGATGTCAATGGAGATACAGAAAGCTCCTCCATTTTCTGGTCACCAGCATAAGATGAACTGAATCCAGTATGTGCTTTGCTGCATGGACAGGACCAGATTATCAGCTGGGACAGGTATATGGCCATCATGACAGACATGAAATCCTGAGCCACTGACTGGGCAACTTCAACATAAACAATGGAATCCTCCAAGACAGGAAGTCTAAAGTAATTTGGTCTAAGATAATCCTTAGATCCACTTGTCATACAGTAGGGTGGACACTACAATACCCATACACTGTCCTGACCAGCCAAACACAGCAGCCAACAGTAACTATCAGATGGAGCTTGTGGTCAGCAAGATGGAATTCCTATAAATTACAGCTATTCCACATCCCACCCTCCAAACCTAGTCTGCTTTATGACTGAGTATTCCAGAAGACAACTGGGAAAGATTACCTCTCCCTTAATTCTCAGCTAGATCTCCAAAATACGGGAGAAATCAGTGTTTTTAGTCAGGAGTAGATCCTGGATAATCAATGTTTTACCAACCACTGATAAGGTAATCATGGAAGTAATAAACATGCTTCTCATTAACTCTATAGTTATATGAGCTGACAGAAGACATTTCTCTGTAAATATATAATTGGGATTTGTTTTTTTAACCCCATTAAAATTAACATCAAGTTGTATTTTGAAACCTGTAAAAGAAGATTAATTAGTACTAGTCCGGGCACAGTTTTACAGCAATGAGCTACACAGCTTTAAGAATATCATCTTTGTTAATTCCATTTAATATATAATTTTTTTTGTTTCGTGTATTTTACTGGTAGTTTCTATAATTGTATCTCACATATTTAAGCTATATTAAAATGTTTGATATAGCAAGCTTCATTTATTTTCTGATATTGCTATTTCAGTATCAGCAACAAGATATTAATGAAGTACAAGCAATAGTATATACTCACAACAAGTAAATCCATGACTGTATGGCCTATTTCTCCAAACAGTGGCTTTCTATGTCTGATACTTGTTAATGGAGTTGGATATACTAAGAAACAAACAAAAAACAAGGAATACATAGAGTTTACTGATTCTCTTTATAAGTTGAAACACAGAAATAAGTATTTGCATTTTTTTAATGATTATTTTCCACCATTTTGTACCCAGTTCAGTATAGTGGTTAGGGTACTGAACTAGAAACTAGGAAACTGTGAGTTTGAGGGCTCTCTTAGGCATGAAAGCCACCTGGTGACTTTGGCCCAGTTGCTTTTTCTCAGCCCAAACCCACCTTAGAGAGTTGTTGTGGGGAAAATAGGAGACAAGAGCATTATGTACGCCACCTTGAGTTGTGCAAAATAAAGGTAAAATATAAATCTAATAATAATTAAATTCACCTACAAAAGCTTACATTAATACCATTTACCAAATTATACAGCAGCACTTTTGTTCTATAACAAATGCTAAGTACTCTCATTTCCAGACAACTGTATTCATAAACAAGATATCCAAGCACAGATTCTTGGGGAATTGCACTATTTGCTTTTTATCCTTCTTTTTCTATTTTTTAAACATATTATTATTTTGAAATGGGATTATGGGATGTTTCATCTTAAAGGAATATTTTCTGAGATATTTTGTAAAGAGATTTTGCAAATCAAAGTACACATGTCTAAAACCTTGCTGACATCTTCAAAGAATGCTGAAAGGAAGTTGGCAAGATAAGATTTACCATTATACAACATCCTGCATCACTGACCTTCTAACAGTCATCCAGAGAGATTGGGTATTGGACAACCTTCATAGTCAATCATATCAGCAAGACTGCAATTACATTAGCTCTGATCTGCACACACCATTTTAATCAACCATGCAAGGGTAAGAAAGAAATACTTGTAGAGCCATAAACTGCACTCCAAAATGACCAATGAAATTGCTGAGTCTTTCGGTAGTATTCTTCAGACTAAGAGAAAGTAGGGTATAAACCTCAAATCAACCCGCAAAGGTTTATCTTTATATAAATACAGGTTTTAAATATTTGCAATAAACCTACCCCCATATTCAGCTCCTAATCTCAACATCAGGCGAATAGGAAAAACCTTTGCCCAAGGTACTTCCTGTTTATGAATAAGGATACCACATAAAAAGGGATTTGAAGGTAGCACGAGATCATCTAACTTCTGAAATGTGGGTGTAACAAACAGAAATCCACCATGCTCTTTGCTTCCAAGAAAGTCTTCAGTGAATATAATATTTTCCAAATTTCCTATAAATTTTCCTGAGAAGAACAGAAGAACACATTAAATCAAAGTTGTAACAAAAATACCCTTGACACAAAGAGATGGAACTAAAACAATTTTCTGATGCAAAAAAGAAATAAATGCCCTTAATATAGCCATCTGATTTGTTTATCTATTTGATATTATGTATAATCTGTCCCTGCTGTACAATCACATATCTCAGTATCTCTCAGGGATGATGTTTAGTACATAGCAAGTCAAGGCTGACATCATATAGGCAGGAAGAGATGTTCCCCATCCCCTTAAATCCAAGCCTCAGAAAGCAGAGCTGCAGAGAAAATGGAAGAACATCAGGAATCCTCAGGAACCATTCGAGGAAGGGATGCAGAAAACTGAGATGGGGGGAATCTCTTTCAGGCAACAATTATCTCAGTAGAAATAAGTAAATATCTAATTAGCATTGTGCTAAGGCTAATTAGATATTTACTTTTCTCTGTGTTTTTAAGTTTAAATTTATGGTCCCTGTGATTATTCTTTAGCATTTTTTCTCTGTGCATGTGTAGTAAATTGTGTAGCTTATTTAATTATCTAATTTATATCCTACCAGAATCATAAATAAATTTTGGCAGATAACAAAAAGGCAATATTAATAATTATCCATAATAAAAAAAACAAAAAACCTCAGTTACTTATTACTACCATTTTGTGATTTCCCCAGAATCTGACATTTTTACTGTATTTTTCTATGGGAAATTCCTACCATCCACTGCCTGTAATTTA